TCACACACACACTGATAGTGGCAAGCTACACTGTAGCCACAGCTGCCCTGGGGCTCACTGACAGATGCATGGCTGCCGTACACTGGCGCCACCGGGCCCTCTAACCGACATCAGTAGGCAATGCCGGTGAAATGTCTTGCCCAAGGACACAACAACACTGAAAGCCGGAGCCGGGGCTCGAACTGACAAGACTTCGATTTCAGGGCATTTTAAATTAATCAATTGGTTGCAGCTCTAAGTTTGACTGAATCAGATAATCCAATGATCTGTTTCACTGCTGTTTCCAGCTCTAAAACAATATCATCAGACAGTAATACAGGCGGAGGGCTTTGATCATCGCTTATATGCTTCATGATTGTGTTTTTAGCTCTAAGCTAAAGTAAAAATCAATTAAGGTTTGATATTTATTAATTGCAGCTCTGTCACTTAAGGTTCTTCATAGGAATACGTGGTTTCTTTATTCTTCTGGTTTATAGACCATAGCATATCTGTCTACTGAACCGGGGTGGCTGGCCAATCGAGGGCGCCAGGGCGCTGCTTCCCTGACACAATGACCTTGATTAAGACATAAGAAACAAATAAAATTAAATAAAAAAATGAACTATCCCAAAATATATTCATATATGTTTTAGATGTGCAAGATAAATATCTAATCTTTAATGACAAGTAAAGCTGTTTCATTTGTAGTCACAATGGTGACATATTACAGAAAATCTCCCCCTATAGACTCTGGTTAAAAGTTGTCCATGCGCAGCAGCTCCTCTTCAATGGTAAAGATAGGAGCATCCTGCTGAAAGCAGCTTTATTTGCTCACCATCTCCCCCCACAGCGCGGATGTCACAGCCGTCTGTTAGAAAGTGCGGCTGATTGACAGGTTTATAGAATTATATAGCAACAAGGCTAGGCTAACTGCATGCAGCGAGGCTAAGGCTTTATTCTGCTTTCCTGCCTCCTTTTTCAAATGCCAGGATCGGAGCCAGCATGGATAAAGACAGCTAGGACTGATTTAAAGCACTTTTCAGAACATTTTAAAATGTTGTTTTTTGTTGTTGGCATTCATGTAAATATACTGGTGTGATACTTTAGTATACATTTGATTGGTTTTTGGTATACGTCTATTTTGAAGTTATAGCATCCGCTCTACACTATGTGTATTTCCTGTTTGGTACCTTACCAGCTTGTTTTGTTTGTATGACCGCCATTGTGGAAAACGACTCGTGAAGATTAACCAGCTAGAAGAGTGAGGTGCGCGAGAACGCTGGGACCCTTTTTCCACCTGGATCCCCGCTCTTTTTGGCCCTCATGTTCCTCCATTGTCCCACAAATTTGCCCCCACTTCCTCCCCGCCTCGGCCGTATCTAGACCCACAGCTAGTTCCTGATTGGCCCTCTTGCGTTGTGGTGTGGAATAACATAGCGGAGACCACACTTTAATATTGGGCATAAATCAAAAATGTCTTTGACAAACTGCTGCGGGAGGATAACCAGGCCTTTAGGCACCTCCTATTCACCATCCCCATGCTCCCCCTGACCCACATCTTAATAAACGAGGAGTAGTTACCAACTATGCAGACCACACTCAGTTGTATGCTATGTCACCGGGGGACTGGGTAAAAGCAGAGAAACGCAACATCTATGAGGAGGACTCGTCAGGATGGGTCCCTTACTCCCTGTTAGAAGGAAACTGTTGTTCACACGGAGGACTTTAAATCTTCCAGGCCTGTTAATGCGGCTCATAACTGGAGTCTGAAGTGCAGCAGAAATCATGTTCTGCGTTTCTCCATGTATTTGTGGTTTATTTTCGGTTTACCCTCTAAACAGCAGCATTGTCCTGAATGACCCTGATAAGTTGTTTTTTTTAGGCTGTATGAATTATTGATACCTAAAAGGGGACCCCTGTCTGCCAACCTCGCCCCCCCATCCCCAGAGCGATCCGCCATTCACATCTGATTTGTTTTACTTCACTGATCCCCCAAAAAATCCTGCCTGAAACCTTTGAGCACCTGCTGTCCTAAATCAATGCTTTCTCCTGCAATATGTTGGGGCGCTGCTGAGAAATCCTGCATGTCAAGCATTTACATCGCCTCCGACACCACGGAGACGCCTGAGCGTGGAAATGAGGCAGAATGACTCACCACGACGCCGCCAGCGCTCCTTCTGGGAAACGACTGAAGCCGAGGGCACACAGTAGATTCCACTGGGTTAAATATGTAGTGTGAAAGTACATCGACCCTTTCAGAGTTATCACAACAACAACTGGAGTAGGATATACACACTGCAAAAAATTGAAATCTAAGTTTGTTTTTCTAAAAATAACAGCATTTTGTCTTGAATAAAGCAGTTATGTGATACACTTTGGCAATGGAATAAGGCAATTTACATTTAAAATAAGAAAAAAATAACTGCACTCTCTTATTTCAAGTGCATACTATCTAATTATATTGTTTTATACTTATTTTAAGAGGCAGATCATCTTATTTACCTGCTGAAATTAAGGGTAAATAAGACATTTTTACTCATTTTAAGACTGTTTTTGCAATGCACTACGTAGAATTCTAATTTAATACTATTTCCGAGTGGGACCAAATGCACTCTTTAAGGGTTACCTTAACACTGCAAACTTTACTGTGCAGAATGGGAATTTTTCAACTTCTAAAGCAGAAAACAGTGAACATAGAGACGTAGACATGGCCAGACGTGAGGAGGAACGTTGGCTCCACCACAATAAAATAAAGGAAAGAAATTCCTCATGAACAGAAGATAAAAACCAAATCCAATTTAAATTTGCTCCCACTGAACGACGGGAGAAACTTTAATCCAAGAAATCAGAGTTTTTGTCATAAAACATGGAAACTATGGGAGCAATATTGTTGCAGAATTATTTGCAAATGTGTGTGGAGAGTTGTGTCTCTTTTTTCCCCTGTCTTTAGGCAGAAAAACCCCACATTTCATCCCAAATATAGTGAATAATAAGAAGATGTGGAGATGGCTGACATCATGGCAGAAGGAGCAGCCACCGCAAAAACCATCTAGAAATGAGTAAACATTTTTTAAATGAAGCGTATTTAGCCTGAGCAGGCTAATTAGACGCTCTACCAATGGAATGAGTATTTTACTCCTAAAATAAGATAATTAGATAAGATGCACTTGAAATAAAACAATGCCATTGCTTTTTCTTATTGTAAATGTAAATTGTCTTGCTCCATTGGCAACATGTCTCACTTACCTCCTCAACTAAAAAAAAAGCACTTATTTTAGGAAAGGAAAATGATTTCTTTAGCTTTCAATTTTTTGCAGTGTAGGAGGCCTCATCATGTTTTCATCATGTCACCATCCATGACGGAAGACGGAGGAATGGAAAGACCTGAAATGGTCCATCCATTGGCTGAGTGTCATGACCTGGCCTGATAGCTTCACCCTAATTGTTAATTTCACTCACCTACCTAGTTCTGCCCGGTTCCTAATTTTCCACCTGCGTCTGTGCTTTATATTCGGTGTTTCTAGATTTTTCAGTTGCTTTTGATTTAATTGACCACCATCTACTATTAGAAAAACTTTCCTGCTACTGTATGGTTTTGAACAATCTGCACTTACTTTACAGTTATTTAACTAACCGGTCGCAAACGGTATATTTAAATGGTGCATTTTCTGAAAAACAAACTGTAACATGTGGCGTACCCTGAAGGGAGCTGCCTGGGTCCTTTATTATTTAAAATTTTTTCAAATGACTTACCATACATACT